CGAAAAAAAAAATAAAGCTAAATCCGTATCAGAATGTTGCTTGGTGAGCATGGTCCCTAAACCAAGAAAGTGAATTAGCCTAGCTGGCGTGGCTTAGTGTTTGACATTGACCTATGCACCAGGAGGTCAAGATTTGATTCCTGGTCAGGGCACATGCGAGGGTTGCGGGCTGAATCCCAAGTAGGGGACGTGCAGGAGGCAGCCAATCAATGAGTCTCTCTCATCATTGATGTTTTCTATCTCTTTCTCTCTCTTCCTTCCTTACTCAAATCACTAAAATTATGTTTTAAAAAAAGGAAAGTGAATTAAATGAATTTTCCAAAAGGGAGAACATTAAAGATGAATGGAATCAGAGCAATCAAAAGCTTCTTGACTTAGGTCCCTTCTCCTCTACACAAAGATTAGATGGGACAGCTAACACTGCCCTGTTACCAAAACTAAACAATCTATAGTCTGAATGATACAGTCTTTATTTGTATATATCAAAAAATTCAATCAAATAACATTACAGTCTAAAAAGTATGAAAATTGTCCTGTCTCTGAACTGGCTCTGTGTATCTATACTCAGATCCATCAGTATGCAGAGCTTATCATTTTACTTTTGAAAAAGGCATCTTATTTTCTTAATATCAAATTCAGTGTATCCCCAACAATTAAAAAACACCTACTTCAAAGAAAACACCAATAGTTCCCTTTGGAGAATGGGCACACATTGCATGTTTTGATAAAACAGGTCATTAATACCTCAAAAATCATAGAACCTTTCATTGTGCTCTAATTGAAGAATGAGGATCTTTCATAGGAAGAGCTAAATCTCCCCCAATTCAAAATTATACATACGGCTCTTCATGAAAAAAGTACCAAAAAAGACAATATGTGGACATGGAATATTAGGAACGTATGGAATAGTGCTCTGAATATTATTTTAGTCTATCTCAACCTAGAATAGCTTCCCATTAGACACATCTGGTCCTCAAAATGTAAATGTTGTGCAAGGAAAACAGAATTTTAGATGCTAAGGTGGAATATAGTTGGATAAAAGGTTAAATAAAACCACATAAGTTTATTTACAGCAGAAATTCTGAGAGCCCTTAACATGTTCACCTCAACAGTAACTCTTGGAGGAGTGGGAGTGGGCAGGGGGGGAGGACCTGTCTCTGGTATGGAAATAAAGGAAGTACTCTAAGCGTTAACTTTTAAGTGGGTTTCAAACTAAATTTTAAAAAAAATTTTTTTAAAGTCATTTTTTTCAACCCTAAATAAAATAAAATAAATGAAAAACAAAGTCATTTTTTAATGTAAAGGTGATAACAGAAAACATTCGATAGTTATTTCACTTAAAAGGGAAAGAAACCAAATACTTACATTTGTAATCCTCCAGTTCTGGTTCTAGATTATCATCAGTACTTATTTCTATTGAAGCATCTGCCAGATTTTTTTCTAATGCTGACCTTGCAAGGCTTGGTAAAAACCTGTGGGGTGGGAGTAGGGGGGCGATTAGTGACAAAGTCAAAGCTTTCTGTGATCCCTACATATCTTTTGACATGTGTACACACACACACACACACACACACACACACACACACACACGCTAATTACAACCAATTAAGGAAGTGTGAAATACAAATAGTAAATAAATTACATGTACATGTGACAATAAAGTATATGTTTATTGAATCTACTTTTAATAAGTAAAACTCATTTGTAATTAGTATTCTTCATTTATATACAACATTTTGCAGGACAAGATAGATAATTTGCTTTTGAAAATTGATTTAGTATACTTCATAAATCTTGTTTATCATTTAACTGGCTTATCAAATTTTCTTAAATAGATAAAACAATAATGCAATAATGTACTTTAACCTGCTCCAAGTTGGCAATCACAAATTCAAATTAGTGAAAGTGGATTAATGAGGTTTCTTTTACTTTCTAACACATATTATTGAGTAAGTTTAATATTATCCAACTTGGTTCTTCCTTCCATTTAAAATATGTACCTGCTTATCTATTCTATATGTATTTTTGTCCAAATAACACTCTGCATTTATCAGTCATATGAGCATTATAGTGTCTTTTAAAAATAAACATTACTATTATTATTATATACTCCCAGTAAAAAAAGAATTGGAAAGTTTCTAGTTTTGGTAGGTCTTGATTATAAGAAAAACGAAAGAAAGATTTAACATATTCTGAGAAACCCAGAAACAGAAGCAGTTGCCCTAAGCTAACTCAAATAACTGTGTCTTTGTCACAGGTATGGAATAGGACCTTTAGATTAAAGAATAAAAGGATTTCTCAGGATGGTGGCATGAGAAGCTAGAACAAGGATAGGGGATACTTCCAAATTACTAGCCCCGAGGGGAGAAGTATTAGTAGTAAGAGTGAGAGAAAAAAACTGGGGCTCAGTGGATGTCCAGCAGCCTTTTTACACATTAATTACTTACATGTTAATTAATTAATTTACAACTGTGATTTTAAATGTTAAATATATAAACAGTACCGGAATATTTAAGATAACTTAAGGTGCCATGGCTGGGTAGTACAGTTGGTTGGAGTGCTGTCCCATATACTAAAAGGTAGCAGGTTCGATTCCTGGTCAGAGCTCATATCAAGGTTGCGGGTTTGATCCCTGCTTGGGTCGTGTTTGCGAGCCAAGTGATAAACGTTTCTCTGTCTTCTACATGCCTCCTTATAGATACATATAAGTCTATCTATGAGGTAATATCAAAAAGTAGAATTGTCACATGATATGGTATTAATATATTTTGGCATAAAGATACTGTATGATCAACCCCAAAGTTATGAAACGAGGGCAGTAATAAAAGTTTACTTCC